AGTGAACTCAGTCTTAAAAAAAAATAAAAAAAAAGAAATTTTCAGGCCCATGTCCTTGACTGACGAAATCAATATAGTGAGACCCCCCCCCCACCCGAGTCCCCGTCACTACAAAACAATTTTCTTAAGAAGTTAGCCAGGCCATGCTGGCAACCAACAATGTGGCTCCTCCACGCTTTCTAATTTACTGGAGGGCACGCGACATAGGCATGGATTAGGGGTCCGCTCAATGGGCATCTGTGTCGTGTGGGTCTAAGTGTCTGACAGGCCTGAACACACAAATCAATTTATAATATTTATTACTTCATTCTAGTATTTTTTTGATTAAATTTTTATTTATATATTAAATATGTATTTTTAATTATAAATTTGTTTTTTATTATTATTTTCCAATCTAATGACAATCTCACAAAGCTCGAGTCGTAGACAAGTTTATGCTATTCACATTGCCATTTTTATATAGATTCCTTGTATACCATGATTGTATGATAAGAAAACAGTTTGAGAATCTCCGCATACAAAAGTACCCTCCAATCTTGCTCAACATTGAGGGTGTCAAAGCAGAAGGCTCCTCTCGCAAATTGTACATGTTGGTATAATCATATTATAGCATGCTGCTCTCCTATAGGCAGTGAACCTTCTTTACTATTATTTAATATACAAGTTTGTTATCTTGAAAATATTGTACCCTCGTGATGTTGATTAGATTTTAAGCATTCGTAAACAAAAAAACAAAGTATGGTGATAATGGATATGTTAAATAGTTCAATTTAGCTATTTCAAAATTGTGTGTGTCATCATATGTATACCATAAATAGAACAATTTTTATTTTCAATTTAAAAATAAAATAAAAACATAGCTAAAATGATAAATTACTAGTGTCCCTGTCCTCAAAGAACTTAGATTCTAGTTTAAAGGAAAAATAGATAATTTGACATATTCTTAAAATAGCACTGTACTATTCCGGTTATAAGAATCATGATTAAGCTGATTTGTAATAGTTGTGAATGTGGATTCGTGCTATTGTCTATTATATATCAGAGTTATTTCTTACCATATACTCTCTATTTAAATATATAATAGTAAGTGTGTTATTATATTCTACCTTAAATGATGGTAGCTAATTCCTTTTACATGAACTAAATCTTATATGTATATGTGAATTAAGTAATGTAGCTATATTAAATTGTGAGATGAGAAATAAAGATTAGGTTCAAATGTACAGTTATGTATACTAAATAGTTAAATATTTTGAGAAGATAATAAATAATATTATCTATCAATCTTCAAAAAAAATTACAATTATCTAGTGCAAATCTATACTCGCTGAGAGCCAGTTGGCCCCTTTCTCCCCCAATTACCCAACTTATTTTAATTTAAGTTGGATTTAGGTTTAGCATCATCACCCCATAGGAAGCGCGAGCATAAACTTGGTTTACAGCAGTGGTTATTCCCTTTGCTCCACCAGTGTAGAGAAAAGTGTCAAAATATTTTGAATTTTGAAAAAGTGTATTAATTCTAAAACCGCAGATGTTCTCCATGTTGGTCAGGCTGGTCTTGAACTCCCGACCTCAGGTGATTTGCCTGCCTCAGCCTCCCAAAGTGCTGGGATTACAGGCGTGAGCCACCGCGCCCAGCACCAACCAATTATTTCTTAAGTCTCATATTTTATTTGGCATTCTGCTCTGTGTCTTTGTTTAATATAAAAATAAGGTTTGTCCTATATGAGGCCACTGAACAAACACCAGCTGTGAATTTGCTGTGTGACCTTGGGCCAATCTCACAGGCTTTCTGGTCTGGGGTTGCCTATCTACAAACAAGGAGAAGAACAGATGCTCGGTCCGTTCCACCACATTGCTGTCAGGATTTGAAAGTGACACAAAACTTACACAGTTGTGCTTAAGCCAACAAAATGGCAAAATCCAGGAGCAGAGCTGGCTTCAGGCAGAGCAGGTTTCAGGGCCCTGGTGATGGCCCTTGGACTTGGCTTTTCTTCATCTTTTGCTTCTGCCTTCTGCTTTGAGGTCTCATCTCAGCCTCCATTAAGAGGCCTGTAGCTGCTCCGGGTTCTCCCTTCCTTGAGGACAAGATCACCGCAGCATCTCTGGTCCAGAGTTCCTCACCTGCAGCAGTGTCGACATTTTGGGCGGGATGATGCTTTGTTTTGAGGGCTGTATCTATGTCCCGTGCATTGTGGGAGTTTGACAGCATCCCTGGCCCCAGTCCGCTAGATGCCAGTCCCTACCCCTCCCCACACAGTTGCCGCAACTAAAAATGTCTCCATACATTGCCAGATGTACTCTGGGGAGCTAAATCACCCCATCTCCCCCTTCCCCTCTCATTTTGCTTTGTAGCCTCACATTCCCTCATCCTCACACCTGTGCAGTGAATGAGTGACAGCCCTCTGGTAGCTCCCCGCTCAAGTCGTGCAACCTCTCTGATTGGCCCTGCCTCAGGTCACATGCCCATCCCTGAGCCAATCGCTGCAGTGGGGAAGGGGATGCAATGTGTTGATTGGCCAGGCCTGGAACACGGGCTCCAGCCTTGGTCCTGGGCCATGAGGTTTCACCCAGAACCTCTGGATCCGGTGGGGCAGCGCCTGCACAGAAATCCAGGCTTCTCTGCTGGGAGGGGAGGAAAGGGAGGCCGAGGATGCAGAATGTAGGAAGCCGCTACAGCCCACTTCCCTCCCTGGAGCTTAGTGCTTCATGTATATGTTGTTTGACAATAATGTCATGTGTCAGGTTCTAAAGTGGGCTGGGTCCTTGAGGTCTCAGTCGGGCAGGGAGACGCAGATGCAAAATTCTTTTTTTTTGTTTTTTTTTTTTGAGACAGGGTCTCACTCTGTCACCCAGGC